TTTAAATTATTAGTTTAAATTATTAGTTTAAATTATTAGTTTAAATTATTAGTTTAAATTATTAGTTTAAATTATTATATAGTTTAAATTATTAGTTTAATTTTTGTAAATTATTTTTGCAGTATTTTTTTTTTTTTGTGATAAATTATTGCGAATATTTATTTTATGATAAAATTATTGCGAATATTTATTTTATGATAAATTATTGTGAATATATATTTTACAGTGAATAATAAAAACTGCAATAGGATTAAAAAAAAAAAAGCATTCTAAAAAAAAAAAAAAACCTAAAAAAAAAAAAGTATTAAAAAAGATTACAAATAACGTTAAAAAACAAAAAAGAATTAGTGCAGAGCTTTATTCAAAAGATTAACGTTTTTCAGTACTTAAAAGAATAATAAACAAATAATGGTACGTAGCAAATGCAAATACTACATAACGAGAACAGGGATTTAAAACATGAATTGTATCGATATGAAAAATACGAAAATTCCGGGCTGACGGATTAATAATAATAAATTACATATTATATAATAATTAATGGTATGAATTAATGTATTAATTATACAAAAAAAGATATTTTATATACGTAATATAAATAAGAGAGAGACAAGGAAATAAGATTAACAAATATAAATTATATATTTTATTAAAGCTATAAATCTATAAATCTATAAATGTATATTAGTTTCAATTGTAAGCACAGAAGTAGTTTCAATTGTAAGGAATTGTAAGTATACGAAAAATAAGATGATGTAACGTAATACCCTATAACGATATAATACAGTGGACATTCTTGTTGAAAAGTTTATCAGATCCTGCAACCTTATATTTCTCGATCAATATTTATATCAGTTTACACAAGTAATCAATAGGTAAATCATATTTTACACCTTAGCGTTATTCATAATCGATATAAAAATGTTCCACATCATATAAGTCTTGGGTACGCATGTCAAAGCATTGATGATTACCGTAGTAAAAATTTGGCTGCATCCAATTGAATCATCATCATTGCACGACAACTAAATGCCAATACCTTGTGACTCTATCTTTTGCTGCTGTGTTATCTTTATTTATGTATGATTGATTATTTATCTATACGAGAAAATGTACCGACATTTATATATTTATTTATCATTTACATTCATTTATGTTCCAATATACATTTTCGTTTACATTTCCAGCTTACAACTTACATTTACTGTACATTACATTCAGCTACATTACATTTTACATTTCAGCAATGGTTAATGGTTAAATTTCTCCCGCCAATTTCCAATTTTCCAAAATTCCATAACCCGCAGTAAATTAGTAATCTTTTTTTTTTATTTCTTTTAATAAAAAATACTCCGTATAATAAATCGTATAATAAAATCGTATAATAAATCGTATAAATATAAAATTGTACAAATTATATTTATATTTAATTATTGTATTATTATTTGTACAGTATAAATTATTGTTGTATAAATTATAAATTATTGTATAAATTATTGTATTTAATTATATAAATTATGGATACATTGAACTCCGTTTATGTTGGTTTATGTTGGCAACACAAGAAAGTTCCAATGTTGCACATCAGATTTAAAACTTTAATTTTACCATATATAGTTTCTTGCAAAACCAAAATGGGTAAACTGTAACGGCCTTTATATGCTTTTATTGTCTCCTCCTACATCATCCGACATTTACTCATAAGGAAACAACCGCTTCGCCCAATCTCTTTTATCTCTCATTGGATCATACTTTGGTCGCACTGCCCTGTTCGTGTTATCAGTAATGCATTTGTGTAATCAATTCACTATTTTTGATTGAGTCAAGTAAATTAATCATTTTGGCCGCAATCAACAAAGAAAAACGTAATGCGCACCAACACTTTTTATAATTTTGCCCAAAATTTCTTTTATATTGGTTACTCTAAATGTTGATGACTCTTTTATGACTCATTTATTTATAAATCTTTTTTACAATACATGTACTAAATGATACTAAATAATAGTAAATGATAGTAAATGATAGGTTGATAGTATATTGATCAAGTTTCGCAAGTTTTGATTGTTTTGGACGACGCATCATCAGGCATGCGTTATCCAACACAAAAACCATACAAACGCCCCTTGTGTAATTTAAAATGAGTTGTACTCTCACCCCTTTATTTTTTTTTTTTTTTATTGTGCGGCAACCATCTCAAACACATATAATAACACCAATTTCAACTTCTTTCTCAAATTCTACAGTACTTGTATTTTTCAAAAAAAAAAAAATAAAAAAATAAAAAATAAAAATAAAAATAAAATACAGTACAAGTAACAACCCATATTATCATTTTTATTTAGTCCGGTTAGTATTCGGTAATTTTTTTTTTTTGTTACGATCACTTTTTATTACTTTTTATTACTTTTTATTACTTTTATTACTTTTTATTACTTTTTTATTGAATAGTTTGTAATGTTCATTCAATACTACTTTGTCTCTTTACTGTCTATCATCTTATTATTATATCGTTTTCTTTTTATAAAAAAAAAAAATATCAGTTATTATTGAAAAAAAAATTCTATTTTTTTGGTGCGATATACAAACAACTCCCTCTCAGTTTTACCCTTTTTTTCTACCCCACCTTTATTTCTGTGTAGGTATATTTATATACTATTTGTTATTACTAATAACAAACTTCCTTCTATTATTTTATTAATTTAAATAAATACTTTCTCTCTTATATAACTACTATAACTTTTTTTATTTTTTTATTTTTTATTTTTTTTTTTTACTATTACGGTACTTAATATTTGATAATAATATTAATAATAATAAAAAAAAAGAGTACAACTGTAAAAAGTTTTTATTACGTACTTCGAAACGATCTAACGAACTCCGACCTTATTCGACACGTTTTTTTTTTTATATACACGTCAACAAATTAGGTCCGTTGTAATATATAGTAGATTATAAGAAGTATTAAGAAGCATTAAACTTTAAGCGAACGAACAGAAGAAAAAGAAACAAACGTTGAGAAATTTTTAAATTCTCTTTTGATCTTTTTGATTTACACGTGGAGAACTGTTAAAGGTTTGTGATCGTAACTATAATTTTAAAATTTCTTTTAACCGTTTTTGAAATGAAACCTAGATATTCAAATTAGATTTTTTAATCAATTATTTGGTTCACTTAAATATCTTTTATAGTAACTCCTGAATTTAACGAATCGTAAAAAAAAAAAAAAAAAGTACATAATAATGTATAATCGATATCAATCAAATCAACCGACGCCAAACACTCAAAGGAACAATTATCCCGCGTACGGTCAAACTTTTCAACCACCTCAACCACAGCAGACTCCTGCTGTACTTCATGCTGGACTACCAACTCATGGTGCTACCGCCTCACAATTCAATGCTTTTACACCTCTATCAAATTATGGTTCCAGATTTAGTGCTGATCTACGCGCAGGTTACGGAGCTGCTCACATAAGTTCTCATCAATCACAAATACAACAGCAAACACAACAGCAGCATTTATCATGGCAGAATAAAAATTGGAGTGCTGATCTTAGTACATCCGGTGGTACAAATTCACAGGCTAGTCACGGAGGTAATATGATGACGGGTAATTTATACGGAACTGGTGGTGCTAGCGGAAGTAATGCAAATTCTAGTTTATACGGTGCTACTCAGCAGCAACAACAAACGCAGCAAGCCCAACATCAGCAACAACGAAGATTACCACAACAACAAACTATTCGAATAGGTGGTGATGATCATACTTATCAAAGTCATTCTACAATTGGTACCTTTTTTCTCATCTCATAATTTATACTACCCTTTATTAATGCTACTCTTTTTTCTTTCATTTATGTGCTTACATTTATTTAAATATTTTTAAGCAGGTGGTCATACTCCACAACCTTCAATGGCCGCTTCATTGTCGGCATTTCATACTTCACCCACTCCCGCTTCTCAGCAACCACATAATACCGCTCATAACAATAGCATGCTTTCTCTTCCAAATCCAAATTCTTCCTCATCTGTTACATCTTCTTTATTGCGTCAACAAATGTATCCTACTATGGATACTATGTCTTCAATCACTGGAATGGGTGGTTCTCTAGGTGTTAGTGGCTTTCCGAGGCATGATGCTAATTTAAGTCAATTTACTGTTGTAGATGATGCTGTAAGTATGGATCTTTTTTCACATGAAATGCTTATATCTATTTTATTTATTTAAATTAATTTTATTATATTTATTTTTTTGACGGTAGCAAACTGATATTGACGCTGATGCTCTGATGGATAATCAGATGGTAACAACCACATTGGCTTCAAACACCCCGTCCACTCAAACATCAATATCACCAAATAATCAACAGAATTATATGAATAGTGGCATGAACAATCGTTATTCTCAATCTCAACATCAATCACAACCTCAGCAGCAGCATCAACAAACTCGACAGCCACAACAAACTCGTTATTATACCCCTGTTTCTTCACCTAGTAATTCTATTAATAGTATCACCAATTCCGCAACCGTTTCTCCTTCCGTAAACGGTTCGATCTCCACTCCTAAACGTCAATCGACTGATACTAGTAATCTTTATGGCACGAGTAGTATTTCAAGAAATGCTACTATATATAATAATAGCCTTAATAGTTATGTGATGAGTGGTCAACCTGGTCAACAGCAACAATCTTATACTGCTCAACAACAGCAACAATCTCATACCACTCCACAACAGCAACAATCTTATACTGCTCAACAAGCTGCTCAACGTTATAATTCTCAAGATAGTTTTATTTCTCCTAATGTTGTCAGTGGTTATTCATCTCAACAAACTACCTCTTCTAATGTTCAGCAACCACAACAATTTCAACAACAACATCAACAGCAAATTCAGCAACAACAGTTACAAAATCATCAACAAACTACTCGAAGTCCTTATCAGAATTATAATACTACTTCTCCCAACATTGCTGCTCAACAGCAACAATCAATACATAATAGATCTTCTATTAGTCAAAATCCGACTCCAATGAAGTCTTCTCCATTAATAACGAAACCTGCGATTCCAAAATCTACTATGATATCATCCGGTGTACCAGCTCAACATGTTCAACAGTTGCAGTCGCAACAACAATCTCAAGTTCAACAACAGCAGCAGCAGCAACAACAACCTCAATTGCATCAACAACAACCGCAATTGCATCAACAACCGCAATTACATCAACAGCATACACAATTGCAACATAAGCAGCAACAACAACAGCAGCAGCAACAGCAGCAGCAGCAGCAACATTCTCAGCCGCTGCATCATCAACAGTCACAACAACCACAACAATCTCAACAGATGCATCAACAGCATCCTCAATCGATGCAACAGCATCATTCTCAACAACAATCTCAATCTTCATCTCAATCTTCTGATTCTTCTCAAATGCAACTTTCTTCTCAAAATAAAACTACTCCAAAGCAAATGGCTCGTAATACTATCGCTGGTGGTAATACTCCATCACAACAACAACAACCATCAAGTTTTCCTCAGACTAATGTTGCTGCTCAGGCAAAACCTTCAAAGAATACTCCGGTTAACACAACTCCTACTCAGTTACCAAAAACGACACCTTCTTTACCACCTCAGGATGTGAAGAATCAAGATATATCTTCTAATATTTCTCAATCAAAGGATCAAAAACCAAAAAGACCTATGAATGCTTTCATTATATTTTCTAGTGAACGTCGACCAGAATTACAAAAGAATGATCCCAACATGCAAACTGCTCAAGTCAGCAAAATATTAGGTGAAGAATGGCAAAATATGGATAGTGTATGTTTTCTTTTTAATAACTTTATAATTAATTATATATTTTTAAAAAAAATAATAAATAATATTTATACCTTTATATTAATTTTAATAATGTAAATAGACTAGAAAAGATCATTATAATGAAAGGGCTCGACAATTGAAAGAAGAATTTAAACAATCGAATCCTGATTTTGTATATACACGTCGTGGTACTGCTGCTGCTACAAAAAAGAGAGGTTCAACTTCATCTGCAACTCCAACTGTTAAATCACCAGATACAATAGCTGTCCCCCCTCAGGCCACTAATGTCCCAATAGTGAGTAATCTTAATTTCATTTAATTTCATTTAATTTCATATTTATTAAATTTTATATATTTTAAAAAAATTTTTTTTTGTTTAGCCAAATGGTTCAGTTAATGGTGTAACTTCACATAATTCTAACAATGTATATACATCTCCACATCAACATACACCTGCACCTTCTTCCACTCCTACTCAACAACAAAGAAGTACTCCAGTTGCTGCAACTCAACAGGTAAAATTAACAATGTTATAAACTTCCTTATAATCATTCGATTATTAAACTATCATTATTTTATTTTTAAATAAATAGACTCAGTCAACGACTACACCGCAACCTCAGTTACGGACTCCTCAAACAATTGGTTCGACTTCTACTACACCTGTTTCATCTGCTAGAAGAGATCGTAAACTGAGAAGACCAATGAATGCATTTTTAATATTTAATAAAGAAATGCGACCAAAGGTTTTAGAAATGAACCCTAATATGAGTGTTGCGGAAATCTCAAAAACAATTGGTGAAAATTGGCGTAATATGTCTGAGGTAAATTCGTTCAATTATTATTGTTATTTTTATATTGCCTGTTCTAATATATATATATATTGGTTTAAATAGGATGAAAGAGAAAGATACCTTCAGAAAGCTCGTGATTTGAAGAGTGAATTCCACGAATCGCATCCTGATTTTGTTTATACTCGTAGGTCAAAAGCTGAACTTATTGCTGCTGGTCATCATAGTTATTCTAAAAAACGTAGTTTTCCTCAAAATGAAAATTCTGATACTGATGAAGAGCCCCGTTCTTCACATGGAAATAATCCTCGTGACGGCTCACCAGCAACCTCCCCACAAAAAGATCCTCGAGGTCGTAAGAAGAAACGAAGTCGCCATCCTACTGCACCCAAGCATCCAATGTCTGGTTTCTTATTTTATGCTTTAGAAATGAGGCCTCATGTTGCTGAACAAAATCCTGGAAGTACGGTTGGTCCAATTAGTAAAATTATCGCTGGTCACTGGAAGAATCTAACACCTGAACAAAGAGCTCCTTGGGAGAAGAAGGCTTCGGACGATAAAGCTAGATATGCAAGAGAAATGGAGCAATACTTACAATCTCAAAAAGATGATGAATAAAAGTGTTGAATAATAAAACTGTTGTGGTATAAAATAAAGTGATGTTACTTGGTTTGCTGTTTATTGATATAGATAATGGTGGTAATGGTGGTAATGTCGATAATGGTTGTAATAAGATTAATTTAGAATAATTTTGATTATTTTGTGCATTTTTTTTTATTTTTTCCTGACGAATTATAATTCGTCATTTTGTATATTTTTTGTTATGCAAGCAAAAAAAAAAAAAAAATTGTAAATTTTTTTCTTGTTTGTAGTTAGTTTGAAATTTTGATTGAAAGGTTTTGTGAATAAGAACGAAATTATGAATTAGTTAATAATTGATAAAAAAAAATTTTTTTTTTATCGCTGTTTATATTTTTCATAAAAAAAAAAAAAAACATTAATATGGAAAGGTTTTTTTTTTTTTTGCATAAGTATTAATACACACAATCGGGTCGGGTTCAGTACTATTGAAGCTTTATAAAGCTTTTTATTGCTTTCACGTTACTTTTTCAAAACTACACAATCTCCTTTTTACACCAACACCTTTTTTACAGTATATAATTGTGAATAAACAAAAAAAAGATAATCGAACTTTTTTTTTTTTTTTTTAACTTTCGAATGCATTGAATAATAAGTATTTTATACACGTGTACATTATTATTATTATTTTACTGTATATACTGATACTATAAATTATACAAGTTTCTTATATTTTTATTTATTTATTTAATTCTAAATTATAAAACATACATATAAATATTATGCCTTTTTTTTAACGTTAACGCTAAAATTTTAATATAAATATAGGAAATTATTATTGTATTGTGTAACAAGTAACTCGGAAATTTTTTATACATCTACTTATTAAGAGAGAAATTATTTAGATACATATAACTTATATAGTAGAAATTTATTATTTTCGGTAAATGAATAAAATTTATACTGTATACAATATATGTATAATTTTTTAATAAAAAAAAAAATTTTTTTTACTGTAACTTTATAAATTTTTTTCTTTGGTTATTACGTACAGTATAATACTGTAATTAAGAAAAAAACTTTCTCCAAAGTTTCAAGAAATAGGTTGTCGAATATAAATTTGTAAATTGAAATATTTAAAAAAAATACTATGATGTATTGTAAACTTAATACAGTATATATAGTAGCATTTTATTTTATTTTATTTTATTTTTTTAATATTTAAGGTGAGACCTTATAGTAGCATTTTATTTAAATACTGTATTTAAATTATTTAATAATTTTTTTTAAAAAAATAATATTTACTGTAATAAATATATTTATTATAGTATATTTTTGTTATTACATATTTTAAATTATAAACAATAGTATTAAATTATACTAATAGTGCTTAATATTATATTATATACTTTCTAACCGTAATATAATCACCAGCTTGAAAAACAAAAATCTGGTGATTATAAAAAGTTGTGACTATATAAAGATTAAATTTTATATGTTTTATATTAGCTTGAGTTAAAAACAGCGTGATTATATAAAGATTGTAACTATATTAAAAGTGACTATAATGAGGTTAAAGTATATATAAATTTAAATTAAAAATTTTATACTATATTAAATAATTTAAATTAAACTTATACTGTATTTAAAATATTATATATTAATTATTTAGATAGTATTAATATATTATAGTAATAATATTTTATTATTATAATCAATAAAATTAATTTTTATAATATAAAATAATTTAAAAACTTAATAATTTTTAAAAGTTTATAAAAAAAATAAAAAAAAATATAATAAAAAAGTTTTTTATAAAAAAATAAACAAACCAAAAATTATAAGTTTCTTTATTTACAACTTTATATACAATTTACTTGATTAACTATACTCTAACTTTAATTTATATTTATCTGCTAGGCTAACTTATTACAAATTTAATATATACTAAGTAAATCTAATATAGTATTTTTACTAACTATATTTTAACTATTTAAATCTAAAAATATAGATTGAATCAAAAGTTTTGTTGTATTATATAGCTTTCTAATTATCTGAAGCATAGCAGAGGATGCTCAATTTCTATGCAAAGTAATATATAAGTTATCTTTAAAAGTATTATTCTTAATGCTTTCATAGTAAAATATCAAAAGTATAACTTTGAATTTTTTATCTGTCTCTACTTGTATATCTGTATAATACAACAAATTTTATATAATATTACTTTGAACTTATAACAGTTTCTGTTTCCTAGTTATTTTTAAATATTGTTACAAGTGGAATAGCCTTTTTAATTTACCACCTGCAATATAGCACACAGTGACAGGGATCTCTAAAACAATAGGGCGAGATATGAAGTGGTGTGGAAGTGAAATGTTTTCTCACTAGGGCAATTTGGTATATTCATTAGAAGCACAGAGATATAGTTTACTTTAGGGCAAAGATATGTTTATTTATTTATGATACAATACCTAGATACAAAGCTATCTATAAATATCTATTTCTATAGAATCCTAATATTTTAGAACATTGCAGAGAACGAATCCTCTAGTACAAGAAGGATAAAAGCTAGGATTTATATAGCTTTTACAACATATATAAAAGGTATAAAAAGTATTAAATGTATAAAAGATACAAAAAATACAAAAGGTATAAAAAGTATAAAAGGTATAAAAGATATAAAAAGTACAAAAGATATAAAAGATACAAAAGGTATAAAAGATACAAAAAGTATTATCTAACTAACCAATAGTCTGTTTGTTATATATTGTAGCTTGTTTCGATCGCTACAATCTTCTGGATTTAAAGAAGATGAAATTTCTAATATGTTCTATAATGTTAACATGTTCTATAATATTTCTATCGCCTTTAAAAATGAACTCTGTGAGTTAATAATTCATCTCAATTGTTCAATAGAATTATCAAATTTTTGCACATTGTATCAATCATGATTAATTTAGAATAAGCATATTCTATATAGTGTGGTTTCTGGTTTTAAGAATTTTTTTTTTCTTTTTCTCTTTTTGTTAATATTAATAATATCACAGATATCAACTACACAATATTAACAACAATAACAATAATAACAATAATAATTATTATTAAAAATGTCTTACGTTGGGTTAGGATCCCATAGCTTAGTGGTTTAGGCACCTAACTCTTCACAGACAAGGTCAATGGTTCGATTATAGCTGGTGGTAATTAATTTAATTAATTATCTTTGTAACCTATGGAAGCTTTCGAATACAAAACCCTATGATGATAAGACTATGTGAAATACATATTTGGTCTATAAAGAATTCTTGGAAGGAGTCCTGAGCTGTAGAGAAGACTGGGTACTACATGTGACATGGTGTCACAGAAAGTAATACCACATAAGGCTGTGCATGTAAATCCTCGATTGGCTAGATAGCACCAACAACCCTAAGGCAGTCTTGGAGATCTTGATTGGGAGAATGGCTAAATGCAGTATATCTGAAGTGATAAGAGAAGCGGCAAATACAGTAAGGGGCTGTGGTAAGAGGATGACTTTACCAAATAAAGAAACATCTCTGGCATACAAGATTGGAAATTGAAAAACTAATAAGGAAAACACTGTATATCACAATGTCGATGATAGGTGCCATACTGATGTGCTATAAGTCAAGGTTTCAGGCCTTCTTGCATTACCAAGCTGGAAGTAAAATGATCGTCAGTAGTATACCCATATAATATAGTTATATTGAGAAGCTTTAGCGCTCATGCTACAGTCAATCATACCAACTATAAAAGCATTGTATAAAGTAGGTGGTACACTGCAAATAACAACTAGAGATTCGATAAATCTAGCCGTGCCGTATAGTACCAATATATAGAGGGCTATATACACCAATATGGGAGCAAGAAGAGTGAAAAACTACTGGAATAAACCAATTTGGAAAAATTATAAGGTTGCTGCAGGAAGTAAATAGGGGAGTGTAATAAGTACGAAAATAGATAACAATAGAAAATCTTGTAATATAGTACGTAATCGAGGACTAATTAGGAAGGTTGAAATTGAAATACAGATTGTGTTACGGCCACACCCCAAAAGGTGGCATAAGATATGAACACAATGGCGGCAGTTAATATGTACTAATTGGAAGGAAATTACGGAAATTAATTACATGGGTGGGACGTGTAATAGTAGGTTGCTCCAACCAACCCTAGTTTGAAGTTGGCTTGAAATAGTTAATGGAAAAGTAATATAGGGAAATTAAGAAATATAATGCCACATTGGGTAACTAGTAATAGTAGCACAAATGTAATTAGAAACTGTATATACAATTGTTCTGTAAGGCATTTATCATGACTAATAAAATTTCTACATTGGCAATATAAAAAAAAAAAATGTCTCGTATTCGTATTTCTCATACTGTTCGACATTCTCGACATAATGGTAATGAGGCTCTTTATAAAGCGCTTTATAAGGCTCTTATTGGTGTACAGGATCAGAATAGAAAGTAAATATTTACTGATTTTTGTAATAGTTTTTAGTAAAAATATTAACTCTGTAATCTATATTAGATTGTAGTATGAAGTAAGATCTTTAAGGAGAAGAATTGTGATATTGGAAGCGGAGTTAGAAGAAATTCAGTTTTGGGAGGCAGAGTTGGTAGAAGAAAGTTAAAGGAGGGATAAAAAGCATTGGAGGATTGTTCAGGAGAGAAATCAGTTGCATATTCGTGTTGCTGTATTGGAGACTCGTATGGATAGTAGTTCAGTAGATTTAGATAAAAATTTTGATTTGTAATTTTTTTTTTCTTTTGTATATATATATATTATGTTATTACTTTCTCTTTTTCAAATAAAATAAATATATAAAATAATAAAAATAATAATAATGATAATAATAATAATAATAATAAAATAATGATAATGATAATAATAAAATAAAATAAAATAAAAAATCAATCATTCGAATACTTCAACTAAGGGCTACACTAAACTTGGTATCTAGCAGGCAGCTTCCTTAGCCTGTCTCGAACCTTTAATTGCAGTTACTCTAAAATAGATAATAT